CCCCTCTGCCAGGCCCTGCCGCTGAGACTCTGCTGGCTTCTCCTTTACCACCCCCTCCTCCTCCCTCTGCACCCCCGCTGCCCGGGACGTCCTCGCCCACAGTGGTTTTCAACTCAGGATTAGCAGGTAAGAGCACCGAATTCAGACCCAGGTACCCGTGTGCGAAGTACTCACTGTGTTACCTCCCGAGACTTTAAAGCTTCTTTGAAAGTCCAGGTCTCTTGCAAGCCCATGTACCTCCTCTTAATCTAAGAGCAGTGCTGCTAATGGAGCCTCGAAAGGGGAAGCCATGCACAGGGGCATTTTTCTCTGGGTAGCTGTTGTGCTCTCTAGCAGGGAGTTCTGATTTTGCAGACTTCCCACCTTCCGCTCTCCCCACCTAGAAAGGGGAAGAAAGACAAGTTACCTTCTTAGGGATCAGTGCATTTTCATGGATTCATGGAACACTTGTGGGCATCTGTACTAGTCGGAGCTCTGACACACGGTGCTTTTGGTGCTCTCGGCTCTGTTTTTGGAAGGTATTCGCGGTGTCATTTACAAAAGGGGAAAATGGCTCTCTGCGTAATTGCCCGATGTAGGCTTCCAGGCATCTCTTCTGCGCATTTGAAGACCTCAGAATTCACTGTAGTGCAACTGAACCTTCAAGGGACGCGTTGCCGACAGCGGTATCTCTGTGCCTTGAAACGCTGCTGAATCATGCACACTGCCCTCCAGCAAACAGGAGAGAATGTGGCATCCCCACCTCACCAGAAATAAAACTGGGTGTGTTGGGGGGGGGGGAGGGGGCGAGACGAAGAGAGTGGTTCTAATGCCTTGAAATAGGAGTTCTGATTTTTTGACTCATGGAAGTGACTTTTTACTCTTTTCTAAAATACCACAAGCCATTTCCCCCATCATGGAGCATTTCCCTGGCATTTTGAAATTGCCGTGAGCTCTGAGCTTTGCCGTGCTGTCTCTGCGACATCAGAAAATTCTGCTTTCTCCTCCACTTCGGTCTCTTATTTCCGATGAACACCTACCACTCTGTTAAGTGCGGTAGTTCTCAGAGCCTTCTGTCCAGTGTCTAATGACCGTCTTAGCTGTGGGAGAGTTCCCGGACCGCCGTCCCATCAGCGGCTGTAGTGGCCAGTCAGTGCGACTGATTCATCCTAGTGACTGACGCCCTTTCAGGCACCAGAAAGCCACCCAGGAGCAACCTTGTTCCACACCGAGTCTGTGGTGTCTCCTTCCACCCCAACTTCTGTGAAGTTGTCCAAGAAACAAACAAGGGGCCTATTGAAAGTAATGTTCACAGTAATCCAGTGATTCAGTTCTACCATTCAGGGTCACCCCCATCTCCTCCTTTCTTCTAGAACTTTTATTGCTTCCTAAGGACAAAAGTTGAAGGTGTGTCATCGTGGAACTATTAGATTTTAGAATGTGAACCAAAAACCTCCTAGCAAGCCCCAGGAATGGAAGCATCGACAGGCTGCTCTCAGGCACTGAGTGTGGAAACCTGTAGTTGCCATTGTACGCCTGGCTCACGGACGAGGCTTCCCTCGTAGCGCCCTGCGAATGCTCCCCGTGGCCCGTGCTTGCTGCGGGGGCTCTCGTTGGGTACCACCTCCTTTCTCTTTGGTACAGCCTGGCACGAGAGAGCCTCTACTTCCATCCACCGAGCTCTCATTTAGAACTCAGAACTGCCTTGGCATGAGGCTGAGATGTGCAGGTCCAGGGCTCCCTTCGGAGTCTTGTCCCCTCTGGGCTCTTCCCACGACTTAATCTTGAACACTTGCAGGGTCTCTGGATGGCCTCAGCTCTACGGTGTGGAACTCTGTTCAGCTGAAGACCCAGCGCTGCCTTCAGGGTTATGCAGCTGGAGGCTGTCCCCTTTGTGTCTTAGACTATTTTTAGAGGGCTGTGGGTGGGACTTAAGAATCTCCTCTTCGGTGCCCTAAGTGTCCATTAAACAATGACAAGATGTTCTGTTTTATAAGATCTAAGGATTATAAGACTGTTATTTAGCACATTTTGTAAGATGGGTTGCCAGTGTGTGGGGTAACTTTCTCCTTGGAATGAAGAAGCCAGACAGAATCAGGATGTCCCAGTAGAGGCAAGGGACAGAGCTGAGATGATATGCCCCGGGCTCCTGGAACCCAGAAACCTGTGACATTGCTAGGCCCTTGGGTCCATGGGCAACAGGATGGCCTATCTCTTTGGTAGGCAATGAGCCAGGTGTGTGCATGGTGGCCAAGACAGGGGACCTGAATGCAGTCCTCTAATTTTATCTAGTGAAGTTGTCTTTGCATTTTATAGAGAAAATGCACAGCGTGGAATATATATTTGAAGCGTTAGGCTTACCTCCCCACATCTGTGCTAGAGCAGTCTGGTTCCCATTTCCCGTGTTGGTCATCTGTGACAGATGCCCAGGCAGTCTGTAACCTTTGCTGTCTCTTTGGGAGAAGGTGCTTTGTAAGTTCACAGTGAGAATTTGTACTTGGCTGATGGTTTTCTTAAAACATTGCTCGTATCTTATGGAATACCTAGCACAGTTCAGTATGGCTGTTTGGGACCACGATAATGAGATCATTTTTTCCCCTCTTCTAAGAAGGATTACTTTTTAAAACAAAATAATAAGTGAGTCTTTAAGGCAGGCCCGAATGGAAATGCATTTATGGTTCTGTGCTGCCTTGTGAAATGTGTCCAAGAAGCATGAAATTCTCTGCTAAGAGTGTGTGAACTGCTGAGTGGCTTGACTCTAACCATATCTAATTTTTTTTTTTTTTTTTGTATTTTCTTTGTTCTTTCTGCTTCCACAAAAGATGGGCCAATCAAGCTTTTCTGTAGGTTGCTCCTCACTGAGTGTACTGTTTATCATGTGTTTCTGTTGGTCACACTGTGCCTTCACATCTTTTCATTCCATCTTACACTGAACCATGCATTTGGACCCTGTGTGTGCGGGAAGTCTCGCTGTTGGCTGACAGTTGGTCTAGGTTTGCCCACACATTTCTGTAAAAGAGATTATGGCTCTGTAAGCAGGCAGCCTGGATTTCATAGGCCATATTCCTTCCGCCCTGAAAGAAAAAGAGTGTTTTTTTCTCTTAGTTTAATGGTCACAGCTGAATCTAAGGCCTCCACTCTAGAAGGATTTTCGATTTATTCTGGGGAAAAATGGTATTTGCCCCACAGAACAAGGACAAACTTCTAGGTGCTGCTTTTCCAGGCCTTTCCTGCTGGTCTCTGGCTCTCTCCAGGGAACACACGCCCACCCACACAGAGCCACTCCTTTAGCCTGAACGCTGCGAGCACAGTGTCTGTCATGGTCACCTGTAGGCCCCCTCTCCTGTAACCCACCCTTCATTCCCCAGTCGGAGTTAGGACAGCTTTCTGAAGATAACTGGTTTTTTTTTTTTGGCCTGTGTTCTGGTCTCAGGCGTATTCCTAATTTTGCCGACGAGTTAAAAGTAGGGTAGCTGCAGATGGGATGACTTTCAGTGCGTGTCCTGGGGCCTGCGGTGTCCATGGATGGATGGCGGAACCAAATGGCATGGACCCCCCAGCTCAGATTGTGGGAAGATCCCGCACAGCTTCTCCCCTGCTCCCCCTTCTCCCCCTTCTCCCTCCATATCGCTCACATGCCAGCCTAGAGGAAAGTCTGTTCCTTTGTCCTGCGGAGGACACGGGTTTTCCTGGGCAGTGTAGACCAAAATGAAGTGCGGTGAGCTGTCCAACACTGTCGGGTGGTGGGGCTTATGGTGTCACGGTGGTAGAATGACCTGGTTTGGCAAAAGCTGTGTTTCCGTGTTCCTGCATGCTTATGTGTGGATTTATCAGATGACATTCCTGCTGGGTATGTGGCCTTCGTAACTCTGGAGGAATGGTCGGCAACCAGAGGGATGCCCAGTGTGCATTGGGTTTATTTTGTACTGTACTGCCCTTCTCCCTCCCTTACTAATGATGGCAAATAGCAGAGCTCCCAAATAGTGTGCTGGGCAGCCCAGGACAGACTTAAGGTGTGTGTGTGTGTGTACGTACGTACACATACATACATATATATATGTATATACATATATATATATATGTAGATGGTTTGGGAAGACTTCTTTATGATGTGTAATTCATGGAATTTTTAATAAATTTCCTTTTTTAGCTCATCTCCCCACAGTAAGAGGAGTTGACAGTTCCTCCCCTGACCCTCAAAGACAGATATCCCTTCCTCTCTTAAGAGGTTTTCTGTGTTTTTCATGGGTTCATGGATGCCTTCTAGTCACACGTAGCTGACTCCTGGGGAGAACTTGCTCTTTAAAGAGCGGGGGACGGGACCGTGGCCATTCTCAAAAACCAATACTAATCCTGATTTCTGAGTACCCCTTCTGTCGTCTTAAATATTTTCTATTTTGAGCTGTTCGTGGCCCTTGGTCTGGTTGGAATAACTCAGCATCAGTATCATCCCCGTTGTCAGAATGGCCCACATGAGCGTATTGCTCCAGCACAAAGCCAGCCTTCCTGACATCACAGTCCTGGTGGTGGAGTCAGCCGCTGCCTGGAGTCTCTGATTGTCTTTTAACATTGGTTTGGAAATACGTGTCCTAGAACCAAGAATTTAAGATGTCACAATCTGACTCACACTCACCAGTGTCACAGAGGCATTGGTCCTCTCTGCTGTCCAATAACATTATTAATAATTTTTGTTCCCCAGTACTTTGTCTTAAGCGTTGTCCTAACGTTGTGAGTGTAACAGAGCAATCCATTTGCCTGCATTAAAAAAAAAACAAAACCAAAAAACAACCCCTGGCTCTTAGCCAACTTTACCATAATGTTGCATCATTCAGCCAAATGACCTCAGATTGCCCTAGCCAAAGCCATGTGTGATGTTTTGTGTGTTTAAAAACCCTTGGGCGCCTCTTGCCTGTGTTGCCCCAGTGTTAAAGTGTCATCTGCAAGGACTGTTCTCTGATTGTTCTTGAGGATCGTGGGGTTTTGGTGGAGTCTTAATTTCATCCTCTCTGACTTCTGTAGCTGTGAAAATCAAGAAGCCAATCAAGACGAAATTCAGAATGCCAGTTTTTAACTGGGTTGCCCTGAAACCAAATCAGATCAATGGCACGGTCTTCAACGAAATTGATGACGAGCGAATTCTGGAGGTATCTTTCTCATTGGTTAGAAACAGGGAGGGCTCTCTGGGCAGCAAAGCTAAAATGGGTGCTCTGCTAACCTGGAAGGTTCAGTGACACAATGCTAGCGTTTTAAATGCCTTGATGTAAAGAAGAAAAGGATTTTTAATATTAGAGAATAAAGTTGGACACTGTTTTGTAAGGTGGTTTCAAATCTGTGTTTAAAAAGTTATGTTACGGGGCACCTGGGTGGCTCAGTCTGTTAAGCATCTGCCTTTGGCTCAGGTCACGATCCCAGGGTCCTGGGATCGAGCCCCGTATCCGGCTCTCTGCTCAGCAGGGAGCCTGCTTCTCCCTCTCCCTCTACCTGCCACTCTGCCTACTTGTGCTCTCTCTCTGTCAAATAAATAAATAAAATCTTTAAAAAAAAATAGTTATGTTGCTATGGAGTGGTTGTAATTATCTTCAGTGGATGCCACAAAATATGTATCTGATATAAACCCTGCCCTTCATTTATAAAAGGGCATTAAAAAACCCTTTATTGAACTCTAAGTGAATAAGAACTCAATAATCACACTCACTGTCTGGTTTGATAGTTTTAGTCTGTGGTGGCCGGCCCTGCAAGGTAATTAGGGAAAAGCTGTTGAGTTGGCCAGATGGAATCGGTTCTCTAGTTTAGACGTTCATAGCTGTACGTGGGGCCTAAGTCATGCCATAGCACAAACAGGAAAACAGAGTAAGCCATGGTCAAAGGCAAGTATTGAGTAGAAAAAGTAAGTTCTTTGATGCTTAAGAAACTGTCAGAATTTTTAGGTGTAATCCAATTTGCCTATTTCATCCCTCTCTACTCCAGGATTTAAATGTGGATGAATTTGAGGAAATATTTAAGACAAAAGCCCAAGGTCCTGCCATTGATCTTTCTTCAAGCAAACAGAAGATAACACAGAAGGGATCCAACAAAGTGACATTACTAGAAGCAAATAGGGCCAAAAATCTTGCCATAACTTTAAGGAAAGCTGGAAAGACCGCCGATGAGATATGTAAAGCTATACATGTGTAAGTTCAGGGCATTCTGGAAAAATCGATTCTAGTGAATTTAGGATAAAAACAAAAATAAGAAAGTTATGATTGGTAGAGAACATAAATATTTCAATAGTAGGGCAAGATGGAAGATAAAAGATGGAGCAATCCTTGATATCCACATACCAAAGTTTCCCTTTGTTACATATGTGTGACTTCAGAGTTGAATGGAATGCTAGCACTAAAGAGGCAGGCCAGAAATTACCCTTGTGAGCGCTGTATTCGAGCGAAAATTATTTTAGAAGAGTAACAACTGGATCATGACATCATTTATTAACTTGGTCTGCTTTCCTGTATGTCTATAGCAATGCATACCTCCAAGGAGGGGAGAATTACAGATGCTAAAAAAAGGGAGAGACTGTTCATTTGCTCTGGAGTATCTGAATTTTCTCTCGATTTGTTGAATACAAATTTGATGGCATTTGTGGAATGATACAATTCAGTGCCAGATGCAAATGTGATACAGATGCATATTTTAGGTCATAACAATAGGAATGTGATTCCTGTTTCTCTTAGCAGCTTTCAGGAAATTTTAAAGTTCAGTTCTTTTCTTATCCCTGGATTGCAGAGAAGGCATTGGTTTTATTTACTTTTCTATGAGAGGAATCTTTCTGCCCTTCTTGTGGTCATGATGGATTTCAAATATGATTAGGAACAAATGTTTTAGATGTGTTAGGAATGAATTCATTGTAAATCGGTATTTCATAAATTTCGGTAAGAGATCTTTAGGGGAGTATATGACCCTCAGAAATCATTTGTTCCAATTTCATGTACTCAGGATCAAAATCCAATAGTCTAGTGTATCCTATATTCTGTTCTGATTTCTGAAGTTGAAACATGATTGGCATTCTAGTTTTTAATCTATAGATGCCGTATTTATCATGATGATTAGATATAATTCTGTCATTCTGCTGGACAAAGATTGTCCAGGGAAGAAAATAGAGATTGTAGCAAATATTCTGTTTGTTCAAATTGAGCATATATCCAAAGAGACCTGATATACCTTCAAGGGATGTATCCATTTAAACCAAAACATCCATTTAGTACAGGCATTTGGATACATTTTTTCCCTAACGTAGAGAAAATAGCCCAGACTGTTGGTTTAATTGAAAAATATTAGAGTTTACCAGATATTCTGTAATTGTGTATATAATATCAGTCTCCCTAATTAGCAGTACTTAATATGCCTTAAAAACTATGTCCTTGAACCGCTTAAACATCAGATGCTTCAGCCTGCCTTCTCGCTCTTCCTGTCATTTAAGTGTTGATTTCTGGAGACTTAGATCAATAGTAATGGGCTAAAAACTGAGCATGGATGTTGTGATGAGGTCTAGGTTCTCAGAAAGGACCACTGAAGCTACTTGTTGGGCAGTCATGAGCCAGCACCAAGTGGCATCTCCACCGTTTGGCTGTAGACATCATCAGTTTATTGCGATGGTGGTTGATGAGCAGGACCAAATGGGGGTGTGGTTGAAAAGATAGGAGGTTTTCTCTCTAACACTGACATGTCCACATCTGTCTTCAGATTTGACTTGAAGACATTGCCTGTAGACTTTGTAGAATGTTTGATGAGGTTCCTGCCAACTGAGAATGAGGTGAAAGTGTTTCGGCTCTATGAGCGGGAAAGGAAGCCCCTGGAGAACTTGTCAGATGAAGACCGGTTCATGATGCAGTTCAGTAAAATTGAGAGACTCATGCAGAAGATGACCATCATGGCCTTCATTGGGAACTTTGCGGAGAGCATTCAGATGCTGACTCCTGTAAGTGGACCAGCTCTGGCAGGGATACAGTATCATTTTTTCTTTTAAGTCTCTTCCAAAATTGTACTTAACATCATGGGCTCTAAAGACTCCTTCCCAGAACTTTCTAGATTGCATTTTTATTTTGTCCATTCCTTTTCACATTGTGTATGCCAACTAAATGTGAAAATGGTGAATTTCCATTTTCCATATTGCTATTCTCCTCCATAGAATGCCATTTTCTGTGTCTACGGATGTCCTCTGGGTTTCCCCTTCAATACATAGGACCCGGAAGATCATTTTCTCAAACTTGTTCCCCTCCTGAAGATACCAGTCCTCTGACTGACTGGGTTGGCAAGACTGAAAATGTTGCTTTCATTTCTAAAAATGATCCTGTATCTTCAGTGAACAGGCTTATTGGCTTTCATTGGAAGCATTATAAATTTACCATAGGAGTCTTTTTCCTTGGAAATCTGTTATAGTACATCATGGTGATGGAGAAATAGTAGCCAACCATCTCTTGTTTTTTTGTGTTAATCTGGTAGAGACTTACAAATATTGTAAACATAAATATCATAAATAGTTCTTTCCCAGTTCTATTTCTAAATACACTTTTGTTAATTACTGATTACAGTAGCATGTCTGTTCACAACATGTTCTGAGGACTTGTGGAGGGTTTATATTCCTTTGCTGTTTTGTTTTCATTCCTGGACAACTCCATTGATTTAAAAACATGGTTCCAGGTGGTGGGCAGGGAATTGAGTTCTGCTAGAAGATGCCGTTGACTCCAAGCTCTGAGTCCCACTGGTTACAGATTTTGTGATAAGCAAGTTCTGACATTTCTTCTCGTTTCAAATACTTTGAGAGAAGAGCTTGCATGTAAAGATATGATTGCCTAAGACCCTAGCAGGACAACTTAAATTTGTTATGTTGAGGAAAAATAGAACCTCAGCATTAAGGCTTTAAGGTCTAAATGCAGGTGTATTTTCTTTTGTGTTAAATTTTAGTTTCCAATTAGAGTTTATTTTTAACATGTCTCTTTTTCTCTCCCCTCCCCTTCCTTCCTTTGAATGGAATCTAGCAACTGCACTCAATTATAGCAGCATCTGTCTCTATAAAGTCATCCCAAAAACTCAAGAAAATTCTGGAGGCAAGTGAAGTTTTCCTCATATACATACAGGGAAGAGTTGACTTGTCAGCCGAATTCCTGGGCCTGGGAATGCCTGGGATGCTCTACTAATAGGCTTGTTTCTCTCTCTCTCTCCCCTCTCTCTCTTTTTGCAGATCATCTTGGCCCTTGGAAACTATATGAATAGCAGTAAACGAGGAGCAGTTTATGGATTTAAACTTCAGAGTTTAGATCTGGTGAGTGAACTAAAAGAAATACAAGGCTATTCAAGGGACAAAAGAGCTGGCAGAGATTTAAGTCCCAGAGTGGAGGAGAGTCAGCTCTTGGAAATGGGAGTGGAATTTTTTTTTTTTCCCCAGAAATAAGCAAAGTTTTTTTTTTATTTTCAAATATCAAAAACATAAATAATGTATGTTTTTCAAACAATGATATTCTAAAACTGTAGGAATAATTTCAGTGAATTCAGTGAATGTGAAACCTAAATCAACCAAGTATTGTCTGCTAGTTGGAGAATCAACTGGTATAAATTCTCTGGAACATCATTTGGCAGTGAGCACTTAGAACCTTAAAAATCCTCATGCCTTTTGACCCAGTGTTTCCATTTCTGGGACTCTTTCCTCAGGAATCTGAATTATGAATGCTTTATTTATTTTATAATTGCAAATAATTAGAAACAATGTAAAGATCCAACATTTTGGAAAATTATTAACTATAACAATAGTTAATATGGTGAACTATTCTTCAACTCTTAGAATGTGAAGAATTTTCAAAGAAATAGATAATTTTGTGTTTAGAAAAGAGTATAAATTGCATGGACTAATTGATTTCACTCAAGTAAAATATGCAGGAAAAACCTGAATGGAAATGGGTTAAGATATTAACAGAGAGATTGGACAGAATGAGGGATTTTTTTTTTCAAAGTGCTTCTTTTTACTTTTCTGTATTTTCTAAATATACATACGTATATATTTTATCTGTATATCTGTCCCTCTCCCCCGTCCCTTCCCTGGATGGAAAAGTGTGTGCTGCTTTTCAGAGTCATCTGACTTAGATGGGCAGGACTAGAGACAATCCTCCGTGGAATCCTCTTCCCCCAAGGCTGTGTGGGGCCAACGTGGCTTCCACATGAGAAGGTTGGGCAGTGGGTTGAGTCCCGAGCCCTGGGGAGACATGGCTGTTTGGTAGGGAGTGTCCAGTGAGTCCCAGCTCTGGCCCGGGAGGGTCATGTGTGGTAAGCCCAGCTGCTTCGTGTCACGGAGGCTGGGGAACAAGAGAGGGCTGGACTGGGAACGTGTAGCCTGCGGTGTGGGAGTCCTGTCTTGTGGGCAGTCCTGCACGCCTGCTGGTTCCACGCTCACTCCTCTGCTCCTTCACTTCGGAAAGCACTCAAACTGGGCGCTTCCTACTCTTTAGCCAGGGGAGATGGTGTGGCAGATGTGCAGTGGGGCGGTTTTGTGTGGGTAGAGATGTGTGTTGGAATCGTCCCCAACACCGAACATACCCCCGGTTGGAGAAGTCCCGTGGTCTCTTCTACAAGTTAGTGGGCTGGTTTAGTGAAGAACATGTCCAGGCTTGATCCTCCCATGGGGGTATTTTTTGTCCACTTTTGGGGTGCTGTACTCAGTTACTCGAGTGGGAGGGCATCATCTGGGGGGCAAGCTTCCCATCTTCTTTAACCCATATATTCCTCTTGTTTTCAGCTCTTAGATACAAAGTCAACAGACCGAAAGCAAACACTGTTGCACTACATTTCAAATGTGGTAAAAGAGAAATATCACCAAGTGTCCCTGTTTTATAATGAGCTTCACTATGTGGAGAAAGCTGCTGCAGGTACTTGACTTCAGCTCTTCCTGTTACCCTTGGGTATCAGGTGCCTTTAATCATGGGTCCTGGGGGAGCCATCCCCTGCTTAACTGGTCTTCGGAACCCCTTTGGAGAGGCAAGGTGAAAAGTCGGATGCTCTTGGCTGGAGTGTGTAGGCCATGGTGTTGCCCACGCCTGGGAGCCGTAGCAACTAGGGACACAAGGGAGACCTCTCTGTGTCCTCTGTACAGAGTCGGGGCTCTGGACCTTGGGCAGCTTCCCTCTTCCATTTGATGTCCTTCTTAGTCTATTGCTGTTGTTGAAACACGAGAGTGAAAATCTGAAAATCACCCCCCAAGAAATACTTCAGTTTGATTTTGTGCCATCCCACTTGCTCAGGTGTGGTAGTTCCAAGCATTGTGCCTTTAGCCTGAGCACAAGGTAAATTATCAGTACTTTTGGCTGTTATTTTGCCATAGCAGTTGTGCATTTTCTCATTTAAATCATCAAATGGTTCCGAGATGGCTGGGCTATAATAGGTATGTAATGGTATCCCCATGTTACCGATGAGAAAACTGACATTTTTAGAGGTTACATAGCTTGCCCAAGGTCACATGGGTAGAACGTGTTAGAAACAGGACTAGAACCCACGTCTTCTCACATACTTTATTGTCTAATGTACCATGTCCTCTCCAAAGACTGTTCACTTGATCTCAGCCAAAAGGCCAAGAAGCGATCCAAAGACTTTTTCAGCTAGAAAAAGGAACCAGATGCACATTGACCCCAGAGTTGATTACGTACTGTGATTCTCACGTTAGGATCTTGAGCCCCGAGCCTCCAAGGTGTTTAAATTCATATTCCCCGGGGCCTACTTCAGACTTAGTGAACTGAATCTTTGCGGGGAAGGCTTTCTCTGACTTCCTCAAAGTAAACGGCCTCTCCTTTTGTGTTCTTACTACAGAGCACTCCACACTACTCTTTCATACAAGATTTCTCAAATTTTATTAACATAGTTTGCATGTCCATTCCAACCTGTGGATTTAGGAGTATAATCAAGTTTTATTTATCTTTATTCCCGTAGCCCCTAGTAAATTGTTGGGGCGCATAGGTAGATGAGTGAACGAATGAATGAGATGACGCAGTGCTAACTGGGGACAGGTACTGAGGGAGCCCTAGTGGAGGCTGAGAAGCAGGGGGGACTGATATTTTGACTGTGCAGAGCTGTGCAGAGCAGGGTGTGACAGATCCACTGAGGGCTCAGGGCTCAGGAGGCAGTGATTTTCCTCCTTCCAGGTTTCTCTTTGCCTAAATTTCGGGGTTCTTTAGCATCACAATTCTAATTAAAAAAAAAGAAGTTTAACAGAAATTTTTGTTTTGACCATTTTGTTTGGCCCAACTGAGATTCCCCAAAAGCGTTGGAAAAAATCAGTCAGGGCAGGTGGAGAGATGGAGGTTCTCTGGCTGCATTGTTCTCTGTGTTCTCTCTCTGATGTCCAGGGGAGCTGACATGGATTCTTTACACCTTCACTCCTTTATCCAGTCACTCCCTTTGCTAATCCAGTGAGCCTTTCTGAGTCCCTGCGGTGTACTGGGCACTGTCCTAGGCATTGAGGAGTCAGAGTTGAGTAAGATCGTGTGAGTCTAGCAAGGGAAAAACCTAACCTTGCCTTGTGTAATTCATCCACTTGCAGAGCTGAGTCGGGCAGCAGGGAGCCAGAGGGGAAGGTGGGTGTGGAAGGTAGCAGGAAGGCTGCTCTGGGAGGGTGGCCATACTGCAGATGGAAAGGTTCATGCTGAGAAATCCTTCTGAAGTAGGGAAGGCTTCTTTCACAAGAAGCTGTCCAAGCTTGCTTGGTTTCTAGTGGTCAATGGTACTAAAGTTCGACATCTCAATGCTGTCCCCTGCTGGAGAGACACAGAAATGTAAATGAGGTCAGAGTGTTAGAGGATCAGATCCTGGGCCCTGCACTGTTGAGGAGTCTCTGAGCCTACAGACCCACGGATAGGTTATCTTCCTGTAAGAAAAACGGAATAGTTTGGTATAACCCCAGAATGTGGGGTGCATGGTTGTTCTCCGAACTCCATTTTGGCCACTTCCTAGCTGTGCAACATCGGGCAGGCCATGTAACCTCTTTATGCTGCTTTTTGTTGTGGTGGTGTTGGCAAACTGGGCTGATAGTGCAAATGAATTAGTGCCTACACAGAAGTTAATGCAGTGCAGGGCGGTGAGCAGTAGTAAATTATTCACATTGTAAGGTCTTCGCTCTGAAAGATCTAAGGTCCTTGAGTGACCCTAGGAATCCACTGAGAGCTGGGCTTACCAGCCAGACTCACTGGGGTTTTGACATTCATGGGGACATTGCTGTCTCTACTTCAGTCTCCCTCGAGAATGTTTTGCTGGACGTCAAAGAGCTCCAGAGGGGCATGGACTTAACCAAGAGGGAGTACACCATGCATGACCACAACACACTGCTGAAGGAGTTCATCCTCAACAATGAGGGGAAGCTGAAGAAGCTGCAGGATGATGCCAAGATTGCACAGGTAAGTATCTGTGCCCTGGACACTCGCAAGGACGTGATTGGATCCCTTAAACCCACCTGGGTGCTGGCCTGGCTTTGGAGGAGAATTGCCCTCTGTCTGCTGAGGGTAGATTTCTTCTGTAGCTAATGACTCCTGTGGGTGAGATCTTTCTGAATATTGTCCCTGTTCTGTTCATTGTCCTTTTCTGATTTGGAGTCTTCACTCTCTTCTCTAGAGGCTCTCCCCTTCCCCTCCCCTTTTAGTTCTAGGCTCCTTCTCTGTGAGTCCTATATTCATTTTGGCCAACATGTAGTCATTCCTGTGCTTAGCAAAGCACTGCTCCTTCCCAGTGTGTTGGGTTTCTGTAGGCCTTGACCTCTAAATCTTATAGTACACTGGGGGTTAAGTTTACACACTTAAAAAACAGCCAAAGTGGACTGCATGCCATCACAGAAGGGAAGGCAGAGTGTGGTGGGGACTCAGAATGCAGACGGGGTGGGACAGCTCCCGAACGAGGCTGTCTTGTGCCAGGAAAGAGTTTAAGCAGAGACGTGAGTGTCCCTGAGGTGGGGACACTGTAAGGAGCATTGAAGCAGCCAGCTGGGATTGGAGTCTGAGTGACTTCTGAGATCCGTTCTAACCCTTGTCTGCCATGGCCTTAGGAAGCTCTTGAAAGGGGTAATTCCTCGTGTGTGTGTGTGTGTGTGTCAGAGAGAGAGAGAGAGAGGCGGTGTGTAAAAGTGCAGGTGGTCCCCGAGATGAGCCCTGTGCGGCACTATTGCCTTCTGCTCTCTCAGCCTAGGTGTCGTTCGGAGGACACCGGAGGCCCGAGAGGGTCGTGGGAGTGTGAGGGGGCCGCAGGAGAGCTGTGGCGGTGGCTGGATCCTCCCTCCTGCTCTGCTGCTCTTCCCCCAGGGGGTCAAGTTCACATGCTGGACCTTATGAAACTTAAGAGGAGTTTGCTTCTTTACAGGACGCTTTTGATGATGTGGTAAAGTATTTTGGAGAAAACCCCAAGACGACACCACCCTCTGTCTTCTTTCCCGTCTTTGTTCGGTTTGTGAAAGCCTATAAGGTAAATAGGAGCATGGGGTCCTTTAAAGCCTTCCTTGGCATTGTTTGTCAAGTGGGTGCCCTCCCGGAGCTGTGTCTGAGTCTCCACTGCTGTGCAGAGGCCTCCCCTGTTCCTTTGGGCAGCAGATCTGGGAGGTCAGCGTGAGTCTGAGCAGTCTCCAGTCCTGTGGGGGCTGCGTGTTCCTGGGGCCCTCAGCCCACGATGCTCCCTGTCTCCAGCCAGCCAGGCCTGCAGTTCAGCCCAAAGGCAAAAACTCCTGGCTGCCCTTGGGGCAAGTGAAGACACTCCAGGACTGTAACTTCCTCATTGAATGTTCATTCTTGTGGGTGGGGTGAAGGACTTGGAAACCCCAGGCTTCCCATGCAGTTGTTGGACAGGTGAAAGGAGGGGACTCTGGCCTGTGGCAAGGGTGCTGTAGCTGAGGTCAGGGACAGCCTGCTCGTGTGTGTTCTGCCCAGGCCTTTAGGTCGTCTAGACCAACACTTCTCTAGCGTGGACTGAAAGGTGGCACTAGGAAGGATGGTTGCTGTCTGTTTCCTCATCTGGACCAGTAATGGCCCTTCCTTTAAATAGGTCATTTGACACAATCCAGAGCTATGGTCTTGAAAAAGAATGTGACCCAGAGAGGCATGTGTTGGAAGAATTTGTTCCTTGAGAAAGAATGATGGGGAATGTGGGGGCGTTCGGGGATGTTAGTGCACTTAGGAGACACTGCAGTCTGTACTCTCCAGGGTTGTTTACACATAACCTCGGTAACATTGGTGGAGGAAGGAGGAGTATGATTATAGGGGGAGGAGGGGGATGTGGTTTTTTCTTTTTTAAAGATTTTATTTATTTTGAGAGGGCATGAACAGGATTGGGGGGAAGAGGGAGAGAGAGAAGCAGGTTTCCTGCAGAGTAGGGAGTCCAATGCGGGGCTCGATCCCAGGACCCCGGGACCATGACCTGAGCCGAAGGCAGATGCTTAACGACTGAGCCACCCAGACGCCCCAGGTCATCTACATTTTTGAGAAACATCCGCTTGGATATAGTGGGTCACTTCTCCAGCTCCACAACTGTCAGGTTACGTTATTTAGCTGTCAGCATGGCTTCCCATACCGCTGACATCACAAGCTGTTTGCAGAGGCGGGGTGAGGATGAACCCAGACGCAGCACCGAGTCCATGTGTCAGACATGAGGAGGTCACCAGCTGCTGCTGACCGTGGTGCTCAGGGTTCACTGGCTGGTGATCCTAGTGTACGGAAGAGATCACTCAAAGTGATTCTTGTTATGTGCTGCAACCACGTTTCTTCACATAAAAAATTGTAAGTCTAAGGTCTATAGGGAAAAATATAGGCTATTTTTAAACTGTAGAATATGAGCTGGGAAGCGGGTCTGGTAGGTCCCAAAGCCTGATACTTGAGCAGGGGTATGTGTAGAGCAGAGGAAAAAGCGAAGTTCCTTGGTGATCTGTGTGGGGTGACACAGGTCAGAGCCCGTCAATGAGCCCCTTCCGCATTATTGTTTCACCCTGTGTCCTGTTAGCAGGCTCCGTGGGGTGCTCGCCAGGCAGTGGTGCTGTGGGATGTTTTACTGGCCATAGATACTACACAGTGAATGACTCCCAGGCTGGCACTGACCTGGGGACTTTTTGGGAAGATGTTGCGGTTGTAGGTTGTCATCCCTCCTTTGCCTTCCCAAGTTCGGACCAGAATGTAACTTAAGACCGAAGTACAGGGGTCCAAAATATAAACTTGATTCCCCATAATAGCTGGGCCGGGGGGTGTGGGGTGTGTCTGTGAGCTTATATCTCAGCCCTGAGCTAGATAACTGACTGATCACTTCACAGTGAGACCATTAGGAGTCTCTTTAGGGAGGCTGGCTTCAAAACAGAGAATGCCCAAGAGGGCTGAGCCGGGGTGAGCCTGTTTTGATTTCTTGTCCCAAACTCAGTCGCTCTGCAGCCCTTGGGAAGGAGTGAGCTCTGGGGTGAGACCCCTGGGGGAAACAGGAGGCAAGGGAATGGAGGTTTTCCCCTAACAATGGGCAAAAGGAGAGGAATCTGAACTCCTGGTTTCAGAGAAGCTAGAGGTACGTGGACAGGTTCTGGAAGCAAAACAAGCTCACGTGGGAATCACAGAGCAGAGCTATCCAGAAGGAGAGTTCCCGTCCATGTCTGTGGGATTGAGGCTGAGAAGCAGTGTGAGTGGGGAGGCAGTCCTCAGGAAAGGATTTCTGGACAAGGTACCTCGAGATTGCTGGATTTTGAGGAGATGTGATAGAGACCAACAGGGAAAGCCCGGATCAGAGTCCTGGAGGGGCCTAAGTGTAGGTCTTGTCAGCTTCCTGTGCGTTCTGACTCCTGGCTTGCCAAGACTCTCTTAGGAATGACTTTAGAAAACCTTGATGGCTGTCATTTCCACTGACATAATCTTTTGGTTCCTTTGACTTTGCCCAGCAAGCAGAAGAGGAAAATGAGCTGAGGAAAAAGCAGGAACAAGCACTCATGGAAAAACTCCTGGAGCAGGAAGCTCTGATGGAGCAGCAGGATCCAAAGGTGAGAAGTGGCCGGGTGCTGAGGGAAAAGGGGCGAAAAGCCAGATTTGCACACGAGCCCGACGGCTTCCTTCTAGGGCTTGGAAACGTGGCAGATGGGTTTGTTGTTCATTCCTCTGTTCCGCAAACAGTAGAAAGAGGCGAAGAGCGTGTCTGCATAGCCTTTCCAGGTTCATAGAGATCAGGAACTTAAATCTCAGGTGACTATACAGTGAGGCTGCGCCAGGTAGCCTGACAATGAACTGCGTGGGGTCCAGGAAGGCTTCATGGGGTCGCCATTGGTGCTGGCCTCGATCGCTGGCCGGCTTCACTCTGAGGAACGGGAGGGAGGATTCCCTGGAGGGAAGCAGCGTAGGTGAAGACCACAAAGACTGGCAGGTCAGAGTACTCTTCATCCCAATCCTCTGCCCCGAAGTTTCAGAAGGATGGTTGTCACCAGCTGCCTCTCGTGGCCGTACGATCCAGCCTTCCCGCCGCCACCAGCCTTCCCAGCCACCACCAGCCTTCCCAGCCGCCACCAAACTTTTCAGAGAAAGTTTGTTTTTTTCCCAGAAGCTTTCTGAGTGTGTCTCTGAGCAGGATGTTGGGATGGTGCTGCTTGTGTTTTTTGGCTGAGGCTGCATGTTCGTGATGATAGAACTTGCGATTTTCTCAAGCCTCCCATGGGTGCTGGTCCCACTAATCTCTGCCATCCTTCTTTTTCCTTAGTCTCCTTCCCACAAATCAAAGAGGCAGCAGCAAGAATTAATTGCAGAATTAAGAAGGCGACAAGTGAAAGATAACAGACATGTATATGAAGGCAAAGATGGTGCCATTGAAGACATTATCACAGGTAAAAGATATTTTCTCCTGGTGGCCGTAGAGACCCCACTGATCCTGCCCATAGTGGACTACTTGCACAGTTCGCTGCTACTTTTGTCCAGGGTTTACAGGGTCTTCAGGTGACTTGATGCAGATCCAGAATTATGTGGAGGGACTCCATGCTGGTGTTTCAGGTGTATTTCTAGTAGCCTGCATACTGCCTGTCAGGAAACCCTAGCACCCTCTGAAGACTGTCTTTCTCGTTATCATTGGAACCCTGCAGATTTCACCAGGCTCCTCCTCCTGATGGTTTTTCCACTGTCTTCGATTTGTTTCCCTGCTCCATTTCCTACCTTGTGGCCACTCCCACCTGCCTGCCTACCTAATAAGTACCACTGACAAGGCCCATTCAGGGTTGCGTACTAACCACGGTCAGCGCAGGTTTTTCCAGCATGCTCTTTAAAAGCCTTTTTACTCATTCGAAGTAACTGAAGACAAGAGAAAATCAGGATCGTCAGCTAGGAATGAGTGGTGCCCAACCCAGCTTGGTTCTTACCTGATTAAGTTGTAGCCTAATGCTTGCTGCTTGGAGCCATTCTCCAGAGATTCTGCATTCTCTTACAGTTTGGGACAATAATTTGAGCCACTGTCTGTGGCAGTGGCTGCAAGTGACTTTCATGTCTGTTGCATAGGAGTACTGTTTTTTAGCTTCCAAGATACTTACCACTTTTTTTTTATTGTAGAGAATTTTAAAAACATGCAATGCCAAAGTACAGAGAATAGCATGATGAGTTCTATATACCCATCACCTATCAACAATTCCCAACTCAGGGCCGGTCTTGTTACATGTCTGCTCCCCATTCCCCATCCTCTGGGATTACTTTGAAGCAAATCTAAGACCTACGATTTCATCTAGTTATATTTCAGTGTCTGTGTCTTCAAAAGATAATGACTCTTTAATAAAGAAACAAACATAGCCAGACAGAGTATCATTGTCACACACCTCCAAAACTAACAACTTTTTCACATCAAATATGCATTAGTCACATTTCCTGAGCCATCCTAATTTTTTTTTAAAAATGTAACTCTTAGAATTTTGACTTCTCATTTTTTGGGAATAGCTTCACATCATAGTTAAGGATCCCAAACGGCCAAAACCACCATTTTTTTTCCACCAGCTCAGACCCAAGGAAATAAAATAGGTACATAAATCCCGGACAGGAAGTCAATAAAGAGTTTCTGGCCCAGAGTAAAGCGGTTTGAGTCGTCAGTAGCTAGGTAAGTGGCTGATGAAATGCCTGCGTCTGCATCTGGCACCCCATACAGTCCATATGCGCGTGCCTGCCCGTATCTCATCGTTCCCTCGGCAGTGGTTTGCACGTGGCACCCCCAGGTAAAGTCCCCATTGTTGGGCACCTCTCTTTGTTTCCCCGGCCCTGAGGGAGCAGCTTTGCTGTAAGCAAGACTAGGAGCAGATCTTTTTGGGGTAAGCACCTATTTGCCTCAGTGCCACAGTATGATTAACTTGTAGGGAGAGAAGCATCCAGCCTCACACAGTAAGAGTTCCTTTTCCATCAGTCTGTTTCTCCATCTCAGTGACCCCTGGCTTGTCAAATGAGCAAAATGTACAGTTTCTGTTTGCCTAATCTCATCGGAGGTGAATGAGTATCTGCTCACAGATACTACAGTTTTTATTCTCTTTAAAATATTTTCCATTTTCCACCCCCCCCGAGCCCAAGATTGAGTACCTCTTTTAGACTTTATGAACTCCCTTGGGTATAAATTGCCTTTCCCCGTCTCCAGGTATGATTAACAAAGCACTAACCATGTACTAATGTGATAGATCCTGGCTTTTTACTCTCTTCTGTTTGTCTTATTTGGCTGTCATTTTCGATGCAGTGCTGAAGACTGTGCCCTTTACCGCTCGCACCGCCAAGCGTGGCTCTCGATTTTTCTGCGAACCTGTTCTCACTGAGGAATACCATTACTAAACTATTACTCTTTCTCACCTGATGCTCTTAAAAGGTTGCTACAGATTTTTTGACCTCTTATGTCCCTCTGTATGTCTGTTAGGGCCACCCAGGATGCTAGCTAGCATGGAATCGCCATCTCCGCCATGTTATCTTTTATGTTGCGTTCACACTGCATGGTTTTGCATGTCAGTCATTACTGTTTACTCACTGCCATTTTCAATATATCTATGAATCCACATGGCTATGGTGGTCTGAGTGTGTGTGGGTTAGAAAAATAGTATAAATAGAGCACTAGTTTTGAGAATTAGCATTGGGATCAGCTAGGTTGTTAAAAGACTTTTGGGCTAATGTCTTTGAACACAAAATGATAGTTAATATCAATAACTACTATACCTAACATTTATTGAGCACTTGCTGTGTTTTAATGGGTTTACATATATTAAACCAGCCTCCTTTCTGTATTCAGTTACCATGCTTTGATAATAAATTGGGCTGTAGGCAAGTGCTCAGGAACACAAAGTGCCTAAAAGTTGAAAAATGATTTGCAGAAGGAATTGTGAACTACACACAGTTGTAAATTGGGTCTTTCTTAACTGTCTTATACTGTCTACAGCCATCATCCACAGTATGATGGAGCTCACGGTACAAGCAAAGAGCACTTTGGACATAGAAGTCTGTATAAGTTGATATAGGCAATCCATAGCTTTATACTCAGCCTCTTTTCCTTCTGAGTGTCATGCCCAAGTTTAGCTATCAGCAGTTCCACGTTGGAGCAAGGCTGTGAGGCAGAAAGTGAAAACAAAGGCTATAGGAGCTTCCCATAGTCTTCTCTCATTCGCGCTTCTTCACTGTGGCTCTGTTCCCTGTCAAATCCAGGGTATTTCTCTTGTGATGAGATCATATCTGGACCTGCATTTTTGGTTAGGATGGTGGCAACCAGAAATACTAATAGCAAATACCTATTATTGGAAAATGCCACTGTTCTTAGAATTTAAAAAAAAAATCCCCAAATTTATAAGAGGTAACTGCCTGCCCTTAGTTCCCGATGGCTACATAAGAAACTTCTTTGCAGTGCCCAGTTGATTAGAAAAGGGACAAGGGAAGCACATACTCTAATTGGAAATATCCATTGTGTAACTCCCATGCTGAGATTGACATGGAACAGGGTACGTGTTTGTTTTGTGGCATTAACTCTTCTGTGAATTGCACTTGTTACGTATGTTCCTCTGTCTTTTAGGATATCAGAGGATGTGGTGTATCATTGTTGCTTGCTCTGCAGTGTACTTACCCACCAGTGCTTATTAACCAGGCTAGACACTGTCGTCTACTCAGCTAATGTTCCTGTCAGTTTTGCTGCTGGACTGTCTTATCATTCTGGAGCCAAACTTCAAAGCAGCTTGGATTTGGGTGGTCAGAGAGCTGGGTGGGAAGACACTCTGATCTTTCCCTTGTTTTATCTAACACCTCTTGTATTAATGGCCTCCCACTCTCCTCCTCTGTTGGCTAACATGCCGGGTATGTTAAGTACTAAGTTGAATTGCTTTCCATTTTCATCCCATTTTTACTTAACCATCATTTTGTGTTTTTGTTTTTTTCTGTTTAGCCTTAAAGAAGAATAATATCACTAAATTTCCAAATGTTCACTCGAGGGTAAGGATTTCTTCTAGCACACCGGTGGTGGAGGATACACAGAGCTGGCAAGCATCACTTTTTACTTAGCTTCCTCCTCTCTCTGTATGCAGATCAGTGGTTTCAGTCTATGGCTGAGGGTAATACTGTTGAGAGTCTGACAAGGGGGAAGTCTTTGTAACCTCACATTCCAGTGATGTGAGGCAGCTTCTCTGTTGGACTCTTTGTGGCTTGCTTCCATGTTTTCAAGTGTGATGGCTTGGGCAAGGGTATTTGCTGGTGATTGTACTTGCTTTGGGTGCTAGGCTGTCCTTCCCCTACTCTTATCTTGGCCTTCGAGTTAATCAGTTAACCCCTTTTGATCTGAAGAAGCTGAGAGCCAAGTCCTGGCCAGGGAACATGATCTATAGCCTTTGAAGAAAGATTTGGATCTTTAGAGCCAATTGTTCCGAAGACTCAGGAATTATAGAGCTACAAGTCATTGCATATCCTTAGCCAGAAGTGGAATTCCAACCTTCCCTTACCATTCTGGGCCAGGAAGCAGAAGCTTGAGAGGATTAGGGCATGTAAAACTATTCCTCCCTTGAATTTAGAAAGAGTAAGGCAGGGTGATGAATTCCAAGGGGTCGGGAGTTGGTGCGGACTATGCTGAACCTGAGAGCATAGGTCTCAGCACTCAGCTCATTTCTTTTTGCCATGTGAAAACTTGGGCTCAGTATTGCCAGACCCTCCAGTTTTCCAAGGGAAGTCAGAATTCCTCTTTTTTTTGATATTATCTATTAAAAGATCAGGAAGCTGTATTTAAAAGTATAAGTTGGGGGCTAAATATTTTGTAGGCCAGATATGGCCCATTAGCTCCATTTTCAAGCTCCTGAGTAGGTAAAGGAATAAAAAAGACTCAGTCTGGTTTAATTCTGTTATGTTCCCCCTTCGAAAGAATGTTTCCTAACAAGTCAACAATACGAAGGGGGGAAATAAATACTAACTAAATGAAACAGTGGGGAAAAAAGTACACAGCCTGCCCTGACCCCATCAGAAGCAGCTTACCTGCTGGCTAGGCTACCTACCTTAAGTATTCATCAAGAAAGCATGATTTCATATTAAGAATGCTTACATAAAATAAAATTCCTTTGTTCATCCCACTGTATTCTGCTAGAACAGTGCCTGCTTGAACCAATATGCAGTGGTTGATTCATTCAACAAGGCTTTTTTTTTTTTTTTTAATGTTAGGCATTTTTAAACATTCTGTGCATTTGCAATACAAATTGGAGAATGCTGGAAGGCCCAAACAACTTCTCCCCTCCAATGAAAAACAGGAAATACTGGGTGGCAGGAGACAATGTACAGGAATGGAGTATTATTTTGATTTAGTGACTATTTTTGTTCAGTGGTTATTTGAGCATTGTGTTTCACAAAATAAAAAACAGACCTCAGCTAATACTAATTGAATAAAAATAACAGAACCTCTGCCTACAAAATAAGCATAGTGTCCTTCCTTGATTACAATTCCAGATAAGATTGGACAGGGCAGTTTATTAATTTTGCAGTTTAAAATTCATTACAATTATTGATATTCAGGTTTCCAGGGGGAAAAAAGGGCAGAACTAAGCCACAGCTTTTTCCAACTGAAGAAACATTTCAAAGTAAGACTCCAGCTAGATTCTCTGGCCAGTGACAACAACAGTTGCCTTTCCTATATATATTTTTCTAAAAGTTCCAGATTCGCATCAGTATTACATCCTGCTTTAACTATTGAGGGCAAAGTACATGTCTTTGGCTCAAATACTCAATGGATTTGAAGGGCCTGTTGGCTGACTCTCCTACCCAAGCTGCTTTGATTGGCTGCCAGCTGACCTTTGTCTTTGCTGAGACATATGATACTAAAGGTTGCAGTTCTCTCATTGATACTCTCCTCTTTACAGATCTTAGAAACCAACCATACAGACGAGCCGATGCGGTGAGGAGAAGTGTCAGGCGGCGCTTTGATGACCAGAACTTGCGTTCTGTTAATGGTGCCGAGATAACCATGTGAACCTGAGACCTGCCTGTATGAGTAGAGAGTATGCGTGAATGAAACTTTCCACATGAACTTTACGTGCTACCATTTAACTGCAACCTTGAACATTGACAAAATATTCTAAGGGCTCAGATTTAGCAAACACATAGGAATTTAAAAATGACGGGCTCTCCTTTCAACCTTTGTTAACAAGTGCCTAAAAGTGGAAGTACCTGCTCAGATTAATCAAAGCAATAGGGTTTGATTTGATTAGGTATCTTTTTACACCAGTATATTATCCAATTTTTTAACCAAAATGTAAATTTCGTATTACACTCGTTATCTGCCATTGTGATTGTCCCATGATGGCACACCCTGGTTTCCTGATAAGTTGTAAATAACATGGATGCATCTGCTGTGGGTTTCCTTTGCTGAGAGCTCTTTTAAGGAATTGCGTTTGTGTTTTAGACATACCCATCAACTTTGTCTTTTTAAGGGCTTGCAACATGGAAGAAGGAAAAAGTCACATAAGCTCCTGTCCATAACCAAGCCCCAGCAAAGTACAAACAGGATGCATTGCAGTGGCAAAGAAGTCACTCAGCTGTGTCTCGTTTTACATTCTACACTGCTATGCTAGGGTATGATGCGCCGTGAGAGTTCACCAGTATGAAAGCAAGGGTATGATGGCATACAAATTTGTGTAAGATTTTTTTTGCAGTACTGTGTTCTTCAGCTAGAGGCAGCTTTTAAAATAATAATGCAAATGTATTTATTAGCACTAAAATTAACATCTCAGTAATCAGTATTAGGATTTCTGAGACCATTATGGGCCTATCCTGAGAACAGAAATTGGTGCCTTGCTAGCCAGGGAGAAGTTCACTAGCTCTATCAAGCATTCAAGATTACTTCTGCTAGCTAGTAGTGATAGTTAACCTAGCCTTATTCTCCTGACAATCGCAGGTCCCCACCCCCACTTCTTCCTCCTTTTGTAAATCGGAGAAGATGTATTTAGCATCATTGCTTTATGGGGAATTGCAATTAAATTGCTTGAAATATTCACATTGGGATTAAGCTTAAATGGTATGTAATGGGACTAAATGGCCAACTAAGCCACTGTTATTTTTCCTTCCTCTCTGGCAGGGCACTTGATCCATTCCAAAGTCAAAAACTGGACTAAAGCCGATTTGTACTTTTCATAATAAACATTCTGCTTCTGGCTTACCTTCTTGGTACATTACATCAATATATTAATTGTAAAGTTTATTGTATAGTATTTAACCACTGAATTTCTTATTTTATGTTGTGCTTATGTGAACTCCTTGGTGAAGGTCCCATTTTCCTTGGATAATGTGTAGTTATATGATCTCTTTTTAAATGTACAGATATTTTGCTATAAAATTGGTGCAGTTTTTTATGGTTTTTACACTTTAATTCCCACCTTAGCCTCTGGGTAATATTGTAAATATTGTTTAAAAATGCATCAGCCTGTGCTATACAATCTGAATGTTATTTTAACTTATAGTTTTTTTTTTAATATATATATTTAACTACAAGGACAGCTTAGGGATCAGTTACATTTCACTTTAGCATACCTATTTACAAAAAAATTACTTTTAAAACTGCCACCTGCTAGCACATTTTCTTGAATGTGTACTTTAAAAAGAACATGCCAAGATTTTGTCTGTTAACATTGATTTTGATGAAAAAAGCAATTTGACCATGATACACGAGTAGTTGGCCCTTTATGACAAGCAGCTGTTTTCCAAAGCTCAATGCTAATAAGCATGTATTAAAATAATTGCATATTTATTAATCAAATAGACAATAATGTTGGCATGTTCTTTTCTGTTTATTAATGGGCTTGCTTCTTAGCAATATTAGAAATGTTTTATAAAAAAGCAGTTCATGTTACTTTTCTGGTCTTTTCATGACATATGAGCAAATAAACTATTTACACTACTATCCTGTAATATGTTGTAGTCTTTGAATGGCATACCTTGGGGGGGGGTTACCGGTTTTATATACTTTTATCTTCTAGGAAGTTATATCTTGCTGCTTGCCCTCACGATACAAACTCTTGATCACTTGCTGTATGGAACGTAAGAACCTAATAGATTTTGGTAGTGAGGGATACATCTCCAAAATTGTACTTACCAATTTATTGCTTCCAGAGAAACACTGGTGTTTGGTGAAGATATTACCACCACCACCCCCGCCCCCAAATTTGTTGTGTGTATACGGATAGGTTATGTGTGGACTGCATAGAGGTAACCCTGCAACCAACAACTACATTGGTTGGCAAGGTACGTACAAGCAGTTTGGCCTCCATTGCCCAAACATGCTGGTATTTTTAACGGTAATTCCAAATCATCAGACTGTGCAACGTTCAGTATATTCTTTTTAGGAAAGCAAGGAAATTTGATATTTTAGAAAATTGGTCAAGTGGCTTAAAACTTTAAAAAAAAATAAAGGTTTTATTTGAGAGAAAACATGAGTGGAGGGAGGGACAGGAGAAGCAAACTCCCTACTGAGCAGGGGAGCCCGACGTGGGGCTCGATCCCAGGGCCCTGAGATCATAACCTGAGCCAAAGCTAAGCCACCTACACGCCCCTCAAAATAACTTTCTTACAGAGGCACGGATTAGTTTAATTATTGTATTAAGTCTTTGTTACCAATTTAGCACTCTTCTTACTGCACCACAGTTACACAATGTAGTTGAAGCTTTATTTTATAAAGAGGGGGAAAGTTAAATTCCAGTTAGTAAAATTCTCTAGTTTGTGCCTCATGGTAAAATAAATAATATCTTTAATATTCTACAAATTCAAAACGTTTTCAAACCCAAAGCACAGCAGTAAGTTCAAAGGAGATGGATATGGTTAGGTATGGGGCATTATATACCATTAATATCCACTTTTAGAGATATTTACCAGTGATTCAGAACTAAATCTCCTTATTCCCAACTCCCAATCCTCTAAAAATCTAAATTTTTTTTTTTTTAAAGATTTTATTTATTTATTCATGAGAGACAGAGAGAGATAGAGAGGCAGAGGGAGAAGCAGGCTCCCAAGGAGCAGGGAGCCCGTTGCGGGACTTGATCCCAGGACCCTGAGATCATGACCTGAGCTGAAGGCAGACGCTTAACCATCTGAGCCACCCAGGCGCCCTAAAAATCTAAATTCTAATCCACTAAAATTCATTGATTGCCCAAGGGACCCTGCTAACTCAACAATGCTTAGCACAGAATGGAACTTGATACCCATCACTGACTGTGGTTCAACATACTGGACTTTGTTAAATTACCTTTTTACACTGCAAGACCTACTCTTATGATAGCTTTATAACTGGCATACCTATTAGCTTTAATATTTGGTAAAACAGCTCTTAGCCCTAAGACGTTTTTTAAATTATCAGAAATGTCTACAAAGATGATCAGCTCAGTATATACAAAAGGACTAATCTGATAGTTTTTCATTTCTCTTAAAACTAATACCCGATCTAATTCCAAGAAAAAATTTGAAGAAACAAATGCATGAAGTGTTGGTAAGCTGAAACAAATCCAACTTAGTAAAAGATGGCATTTTTCTAATAAATTATATTTATTTACAAAAGGTCTAAATTTATATAACTATTAGGTTCTTTACATCAGAACAATATATAAACAGAAGAGAAAATCTGGTAATTACAAACACAGAAAATAGAAACCTGTTCCCCCTTATTATTACTCACCTTTCAGAACAAATCTTCAGTTTAGTTGTAGAGAGGTAGGCAAGAGAACAAACCTACCAAGTTTCAGGCAGGACCAAGATAAAGGAATATTTATAAATAGCACATTTTAGATACCCCAAGGAACAGCGTAAAAGGGCATCAAGAAATGGCTTGGTTGGATTATGATCTGATTAGGCAGCCACTCTGTTTCAGTCTATGAATGAAAAGTGGGGTGAGGGGTTGTTAGCTAGCTCCCCTGAAATGGAAACATCAATCTAGGCCATTATACCTGGGGCAATTACCAATCATTAACAATGAGATGGCCTTGAAGTGTAAATCATATTGAGTCACAAAAGCAATTTCTATATAACAAGTTTTTTGAAAAGCACAGAAAATCTACAGTTAAGGAACTTAGGCCAGGAAGACACACTAAATAAAATGAAGGGCTAGAGGGAGTGTGCAGGTACTTGCGGCAGAATCCTCTCACTTCCCATACCTCACCCTTTGTTGGAAATAGCCTGAAATGATTAGTTCTCAATTTGGAATTTGGGAATTTTGCTGCTGTTTCCAAGCATGGCCTTTAAAGACTAACTCTAACCTAGTTAAACATTAACTCTTCAAACAGAAGTTTACTACTTTTAAAGTACTGTGGTATCTTAATTTATGAATATGAAAACTACATTTCAAATCATCACAAGGGATTTTCTTTCCTACTCAGAAACCACATGGAAGTTGCATGTTCTCACTAACAAGCTTTTGGAAATTTGTCGTAAAAGAAGTTAAGATATAGCCACTAGAACTTATCTTCAGTGCACTTCAATTATGTATGTGGCTTTAGTTGTAGGTTAGTACAGTTTATTGCGATGATGCTTTTTCAAGCCCTATAATACAGTTGCTGGGTACCATGGATGCTGGATGAGTGTATGTCAACTATTTTACATTCATTCAATATATGCCTACAGTGTGCCAGGCACTGTTCTAATCCACAGGATATAGCAGTGAATGAAACACAAATCCCTGTCTCCAAGGAACCTGACCACCATTTAAGTTAACACAACTGAGAAACTTGAGAGAGCAAGGTAAGATTTAATAAAGAAGGTAAGAATTATTAGACTGGTATATGCCATCACCAGAACCATAAAGTAAAACTGTAAGCCTATTTAGAACGCAATTCCATGAAAAATTACTCATGACATTATTTTGCTTTTCCTTTATTTAAAATGAGTGGTTTTACTTAGAGAATGTAAAAGAAAATTGTACCTGATACTGAGAGAGATACATCCCCAAGGGAAAAGAAGTCTGATTTAAGATACAAGGAATTAATGTGCTTTGCCTCATTTTGCTTTTAGAAATGTTTATTTGGTTCCTTATTTTGTAATTTACATTTAAATTACATAATATTCTTAAATATTCTATAAACTTATAGCATTCATCACTCTTCCCTGGGTACTATTTGATTAGAAACCGTTCTCTCTCAAATAGCATCTAAGCTTAAAAACAAAACAAAACAAAAAACCTACATGGCTACCCCTCTCTGGATGCAAAAAGAAAAGTGGCTGCCTAGTCAGCACTGAGTTGACCATTATCACTGGAAGAAAACCAGGATCATCTAGGCAAATGCTTCTTAACACAGAATACAGGCCCTTTGGTAAAAAAAAAAATTATGGACTGTCTTTCCAGAAAAATGTACAGAGATGTTTCCGTTTTTACAGTTTCTTCACTCTACCACGATGAATTAATAAGGCCTTACTCTAGGCCATTTTTATTTTATAGCTGTATAAAATGAGGCCCAATTAGCAAAGTCAAGCTGTGACATAGCATTTTCAAATTTACTGGGAGGCATAAAAAGTGAAGTTTTTATTGTTGAAAAACATGAATAATCTCTATTTTTGAAGCTGCTTTGGGTAATAATGAAATAGCCTTGCTGTGTTTAAAAAAAAAAAAAGGACCATTGCTTTTATTTAAAAGCATTAAGTTATTTAAATAAACTTGGGAAAGTGCAAAGAATTCATCATACTTGACTAACTCTTCATACAAATTCAATTTTCCCATACAGGAATTACTGGACTGGGAGAAAATAAAAACATCAAATATTGGAGATTCTAATTTTAACTATTATAATAAATCTATTAGTAAATTTAATCCAATAATTAATGATACAGAGGGAAGAAAAACCCTCAACATTTACCGAAGAGTCTGATGCTTAACTGAAACGTGTAACTTCCCCTTATCTGAAAATAAACACTTTCCTGTTTGAACACATTTGTTCAAACTCTTTGAACATTTCTGTTTAACTCTAACAGAACCAATATTCTAAGACATTTCAGCTTTTACCAGACTGAAAATTTAGAAACCTAATCTAATAGGTTAAAAATATTCACATAGAACTCTTGTAACAAAATCTTCCCATCACCTGTGCCTTCAGACTGTACAGTACCTTTTGGTAACTAAATCCCACTTGATGGGATCATTGAAGGTAGACAAGGATTATAGTCACTTCAATTACATCTTTTATAATAACGCTGTTATATTTTGAGTTGCCATTTATTCAGTAGTAGTTTTAAGGTCAAATAATTTTCACGGATGAACTATAGAGAAACTTGAATTTGTATTGTAGGAATTTGAGGTGTTAAGACAGTATCTCTAAGAAATACAGAAATCTATTTTGAGGACATGCTAAAACATATCAATAACTTTTTATTTAAATAGAAAAATTAAAACTTTAAAGTTGCACTTAAAAAAAATCAGGGAATTAAAACAATTTTACAGATTCTAAAATCTCTTATGAAACACCACACTATTTCTGCCAATATCATAAGCATTTTGAAGATTTTGCCACTGACTTCCATGTCAAGTGTTTGACATGATTAGCAATATTAACCTATCATTACGAGACCTCTGAAAATTAAATCTAGGCAACTCCCTATTGCCAAAGTTTATATTTTTTGGTTCTAATATACAATAAGAGACTAACCTCCAGCAAGCAACTTGATTACTTCACATCTTCTAAGAGTGATTCTCATTTTCCACAGTCATGTCAGTTTTCACAGCAGAAAAATGACTTGGCAGAGAAAAATTTAGAAATAACTCCCCGCCCCCTCCCCCCTTTTTTGAGGCTTTCAACAGTGGATGCTAGATTTAATTGAAACAGTAGCAAGGGATGGGGAAAGAATAGTCCTGGTCATTTGAACTTCTCAAATTCATTAGAATGGTAAAGGAAAAATAAAATGAAAGTTTTGTTCTTCCAAATCCCAACTTGAAATAG